GGTAAAAAGCCTTGATCCATGACCATTTCATATAGATACCAGCCTGTAGCTGTGGGTGCCAGCAAAGATAGTGTAATTTCATAGCAGAGTGCGTCATGATTTTTCAGAATGCCTTTTTTTCCCCCTTAGTCTTGTCAGAAGTGTTTAAATAGCAGTTTGCCCAGTGACAGCTCTTGCTTCAAAGTATCATGAATTCTTCTAAATTAACCCATATATTTATGGGTTGTATTGAAGTTGTATTGAAATTGCTGTGCTATGAAATATGATATTAAAGAAAAGAAAGAATAATTGAGATTGGAAGGCATCTCTGGTTGTCATCTTCCCTGCTGCTCAAGGAAGGGTCATCTAAACATGCTTACCTGGGACAGTGTCCAGATGGATTTTGGAGCTCTACGAGGATGGAGATTCCACAATTTCTCTGGATAACCTGTGTCAGTACTCAGGTACTTTCACAGTGAAGAAGGGGTTGCTGATGTTCAGATGGAAGTTCCTGTGTTTCAGTTTGTGTCCGTTGTCACTGGTGCTCTCGCTGGGCTCCACTGAGAAGGGCCTCTGTCTATCCTCTTTGCACCCTCCCTTGAGCTGTTTGTATACACCAAAAAAATACCCACAAGTCTTTTCTTCTTCTGTCTAAGGTGTCCCAGCTCTCTCAGCCTTCCCTTATATGATGGATGCTTCAGTCTCTTAATCATTTTTGTTGCACTCTGCTGGACCCACTCCAGGGTCTATGGCTCTTGTGTGCTGGAAAGCCCAATACTGGACAAAGCTCTCCAGATGTGGCCTCAGTAGCGCTGAGTAGAGACAGAGGACTGGCCCCTGTGACCTGCTGGTGAAATTGTTGGCCTTCTTTGTCCCAAGGGCATGTTTTTGGCTTGTGTTAAGCTTGGTGTCTGTATGAAACTTGAGGTTCTTTTCTTCAAATCTGCTTTCCAGCTTTGAAAGAAATTATAATTCTAAATATTTTCACCAAAGCTAAAGAGTCAGTTTCTCTTATGGTTCATTTTATAATTCCAGTTGCAGATTCAGGTTTCTTGATGGTAATGGTTGTAGCTGTATGGTACTAAAAAAAAGAATTTGCAACTACAATATAATCACTTTAAGCAACATTTCTGAAATCGCTTTTGGTTTTCAGTCCTGTATTAAAATAGAAATGTGCAAAATGCAGTACAAGTAGAAGAATGGCAATGTTTAATATGAATTAGGAGAGAGATTTGCATACTGTTGAAACTAGGTTAAAATGTATGTAAAGCAAGAAGATGGCTGCTTCCCCACTATCCCCAAAATCTCTTCCCCTTTTTTACAATTATGTTACTTCCCCAGCCACCAAAAGCAGGTTTGTTCCTTAGTTGTTGAGCTGAGGGTCCCAGCCTGTCTTGGCCAGTGATGTGCCTCCTGCACTTGCACAACAGTTTGGTCATCCAGCTTGTAAGTCAGTTTGGGCCCAAGAGCATTGCAGTGGTATAAACACACAAGGACTGTAGGTCATATCTTTCCTGTCCACTTATGGTTTATAACCTTTTGATTTTGTCCATAACACTTTCTTAGGCTGCTTAATTCACCCCACTTCAGATTTTGATTTTGGTATAAGAATAATCTTAATTTGATGATATTTTTAGAATGAAACTTCACACAACATATTTATTATGCTATCTTAAAATTGCTTTGTTTCAGGTTCACTAGGTGTAGCACTCAGACACAGGCTGTACTCCTCAGTAAGTCTTCACTGCTAGAGGGGAAAAACAGTGTAGATAACCTTTTTTTTTCTCTTTCTCCTTTATTCCAATTTATAATTCCCTTTAATCACATTAGAGTACCATACTCTTATCTCCTACCTCTGAGGCACTCAGTTGTTAGAGAGATCTGTTTCCTTACTTACTAAAAAGTAGGGAGATCTTTTATTAAAAAGTAAAACATCTTGGATTCCAATATCATTGTCCCCAGTCTTACTGATCCTCAGTACTGACTTTAAGAAAGCAGTATGCTCCTCCTTTGTCCAGAATACCATTTCCTTTAAACCTTGCTCTGCCTCAAGGATTTCCAGCGGCCTCAAACAAAACTAGGGAGTCTCAGGAAAGGTTGGCAGTACAGTAGCTTGGGACCTGCTGTTGGAATGCTGCCTTCATGCTCCATGTCACACTCATGTGGTAGCTCTGGTAAAAGGCTTTGTAAGAGCAATGCTCAACTGATTGCCCTGTTTGTTTGGTTTTTCTTTTGTTCAGGTATTGCTGATAGAGCTGCTAAACATGCAAGAGTAGGTAAAAACCTTAGGCTGTGTTAGGAAAACACTAGAGCCTTGTCTGCCCTTTTTCCCACTGCTAAGGTACACCAGCAGTTTAACAATTTGTTCTAAAGTTCCCAAGAGTAGATAGGGCTATAATGCTTACAGATACAGGACTTCCAAGTGCTTTTGTAGTGCCAGAGTGTGACATGCAGATCCTGTTTTGTTTGCAGAGGATTTTGGAAATGGGAATCATTTATAGGGCCTGCCGCTGCATTCTGGTTAATTGCAAACCAGCTTGTGTTGTGGCTAAAAATAGCTATTGTTACCAATTATGAGTTCCATTCAAATATAAAAAAAATTAAAAACCAACCACCAACAGAAACATAAAACTAAAAATCTCTGTAGACTTAGGCATTTTTACAAGTACAGAATTTGTCTAGTTAATCTACAGGGTGGTTATATGGAAAAATTGGCTTGTTTCAATTTAAAAGATTGTTCATTAAATATTACCTTTTGGGGAATTTTATTTTGCACTAATGAAGCGGAATTGATAGCAGTTTCTAAAATACTTGAAAGGATAAATATTTAAAACATTCATTTGGAATATATGAAAAGCAAATCACAAGATTGTTAACTAGACCAGACTAAACATCTCAGTATAGGATAAGGGGAAAACCCCAACACTGACAGAGAATTCTATTGAGTGGAAGTAGCTTAACCCTCTGTCTTTGCTTCTTCTTAGCAGTTCTTGGAAAGAAAATGTGTGTGGAGTGTGAACTCCCATTTTAAGAAAAAATTAATGTTGTAGGTTTTTCTCATGTAGCCTAAGGGAAGTTCTCTTTAACTGAATTCTTGCTGCAGTTGGTTGATATACAAATAAAAGCTCTAATATTGAGATTTGCAACCAAGTTTATAGAGTGAAAAAGCTAAATTTGTTTCACTTAAATTGAGAATAGCAAAGACAGTTTTTAGGCTTAAGCAATCATGCATCCTATATCTTATTGGTTTAGAGGAGAGTCCTGGTGTCCTCAGTTTCTGTCAGAAGAGGCTCTTCTGAGAGGAATGAGATGAAAGACTACCTGTGTGTGAAGTGCACAGCTACAGTCTGACCTTAGCTCTGAGTGAAACACAGTGATAGAGACCAGTGAATGAATGATTCAACTTTCAGTAATATTATTCAGCATGAGATGTAGCCAGTTGTATTTGCAAATATTAGAATTGTGATAGATGCATACCATGAAGGATTGGGTTTTTCTTTATTATATTTGTCAGCTGTGTTTGAGTACTTAACTAAAAGATGTTGGTAAAGACATGGTGAGCATGCTTGAACCATGGTGAGCATTGACTGAACCATCATTTTAACTATGAGGTTTAGAGAGAGGAGGGGGCTTTGCTCAGAGGCAGCAAACTAAATACAGCTGCCTATAAGCTAAAAATTTATAGTCTTGTAAAATTTTCCATTTTACAAACCATTATGTGCTTAGGCTTTACATGCTTGCAGCAAAGTTCTTATATATAAGTGTGTTTGTGTGTATATATATACACACACAAGTGAATCATATTTATGAATCATACATGTGTGTGAGAATGTAATATATTAATTATGCAAAAAGCCTACCTTTGTTATTTTGGGGATTTTCGGGGGGTGTTGGAAATAAAGCAGTGATCTTTTAAAAGTGCAACAGCTTCATGAATAGTTTTATCTCAAATACAGAAGGAACAACTTTGATCTCTTCTAATATTTCTTCTTCAGCCCTTAAATTTGACATCACTGGTGCTAAGTGGCATAAATACTTAAACCTGCAATCAGGAATATGTTGCAAAAAGATGCCATCTTATTTTAAGGTGTTGAAATGTTAAATCACCAACTGCTACATTCATCCAGTAAACTATTTCAAATATAGCATCTTATAACATCCTTGGCAAACCATGGGGTTTTCCAAGTGATATAGTGGCAAATTCATAACCAAAAGTTTTCATTTAATTTAAAAGAAAAAACTAAGAGCAGAGAGAGAGGGAAATGATTAAAACCTCTTTTTCCAATACTCTGGAGTTTGATATTTAAGTAATGACATGATAATTTGTTTATTTTATAAAAATATGAAACGATGGAAGGATATGTTAGTTTGTAAAATTAAAGTAATTTTACACATGATGCAAATGCAGGAGAGAAGTGGCAAGTAGACACTGCAAATATGGATTTTAAGTAGTTGTAACTAGTTTTGTTTTCAAACCCCACCGTGTGTGTCCTGACCTACCCTTGCAAAGAACGAGTTATATTCATGGGGAGGAGGGAGGGATGAAGGGAATCAGGGTTTCTGGCTAGAAGCCTGTTCTTGTTTAGATTTCAGTGACAGAAGGCCTGACCTGTCTCTGTTTTCTCATTCTCTTTTCTGTGCAGTTTCATGGTGGCTGACTGGCTTCATGATTAGTCTAAAATAAATCAGGAGTTGATTTGTATTTTCTTTCTGGCCCTCTAGCTAGATGAGTGTAAAGTTTTTGGAAGAATATGAGTTTTGATTTGGCAACTACGTTCTCAGGTTAAGCCTCTTTACAAAAGATCACAACCTCTGAGAAGTCCTAATGAAGCCACAAAAATACAGATGAACATTTTTTAGAGGGTGGTCTTAAATTGTTTTGTTATAGGTGATGTTTGTGGAAAGACAGTGCTAATTATTGTGAACTGGGTTGTGGGTTTGTTGGCTTTGTTTTGTTTTTTACTAGACTTAGGTTGTTTATGTTTATGGAAAAATAATTTCTTCTTTTGCTTCTCTTTCAGTAATAGTTATGCACGAGTGCGAGCTGTGGTGATGACCCGGGATGATTCAAGTGGTGGATGGTTACCACTTGGAGGGGGTGGACTAAGCTGTGTCACAGTCTTCAAAGTCATTCCCCAAGAAGAGAATAGCTGTGCTGATTTTCTTATCCATGGAGAACGACTCAGGGATAAAACGGTAACAATTTTTATCTATTTAATGATGATATTAAAACTATATGGGACATAGGTATAGATTCTTGCTTATTACTGCCTATAGACTACAAAGTAAATTTATAGTCTCAAGTCTAATGCTGCTGCTGAACTTCTCTATATCAATGATTGTGTACCAAAAGAGCCAGTTATTTGGTTTTGATTCTCCTTTTTTAGAATCAAGCACATTGATTTTTTTTTTTTAGGAACTCTCCATATGTTTTGGGAAAAAATTTTGCTATTAATTTTTCTTCCAATGAAACATTAGAGTTAAATCTTGTTTCTATACCAGTGATACTGTATTTAGGAGGAGTGTTGGAAATCAGAATTTTATTAAGAACATGAAACCAGGTGGAATTGCTCAGCAGTGATTTGGTTAGCTGTGGAAAACTGCTATGACAAAAATAAGCCATTTTGCATGAGACCAACTTCATATTGAAGGACAGCATGAAGCTGACAGGTTCAAGAATTGACCTGGTTTGATGAATACATAAACAGTATTAATTCATCAGCTACCTTACATAAAATACCAGTAATAAACATCTCTTAAGAGGCATTATGAAAATCAGCCTCACAAAAGGGAAACTGGTGCAGGATCTCAGCCATTTCTACATGCAGACCTAAGGAAGACAAAATGGGCTTACTAAGGATTGCTTGGTTATTTGTATGGCAAACAGATATCTGAATGGGGCTGTGTTTTACTGTGGAAACAAAGAGAAGTAGAGAAGGCACAAAAGCTCCATCTTAATGACTTTCTTCAAGAATTTATTATTTTCTGCAAAAGAATGTTGGCTCTTTTGTAAGCTTAAAAGACAGAATTACTTATAGTACTGCTGGCCCTTCCTCAAGCACACCAGTTTCTCCCCTGAGGCAGGACTGCTGATTTTTCTGCCTTGACTGTGACTGTTGTAGGAAGAGAGCATATAAATAGAAATTCTGCTGACTCAGTTGTTTCAGTGGGGCGTAGTGTGATTAGCAGAGTACCCTGTGTTCCCGCACAGCTACGTGCACCTGCAGTTCCTTCCTCACTTTGCAGTAGTTCCCTTTAGAACTTTTTTTAGCCTTGCTGAGGCTCTTTTTGAGAGGCTTAATTGCATTTAAAGATACTTGATAATTTTTTCTTAATTCTTCATACTTGGAAAATTCACAGCTCGCCTTAAGAATAATAAAATGCTCTGAAGTAAAGACTGGTTTAATGTTTTGCCTGCATGCATATAAAAATGTCCTGTCATCAGTGTCCTGATCTGTTTGCAGTGTCCTCTCTCCCATTTCCCCTAGGCGAGACTTGTTTTGTTTCCACTTCTGGTAGAAGGTTTTAAATGTTTCTCTTCCTCTTCCTGTCTAAAATCAAGCTCATGTTAGCATGAATATGTTTTCCAAACCTTTATTGTCTTGAACAGTTTGTTTTGGTTTTGGTTTTTTGTGTGTGTCCCATCCTGTGTCCATCTGTCTTCCTTGTACTTGCCCCCCAAATGTGATCTAACAAGATTGTAATCTTGCTGTAGTTATGTGAAGTTGCTGTTGGAAGACAGCCCCTCCAAAACATGGGATAAAAGGTGGAAGAAGTGCAGCTAGGACAAACATCTCTTCCGTGGATATTGATTAAAGCTCAGAAAACTAACAAATTTAGATTTAGGGTGTGAAGAAGAACACTGGAGAACCAGTAATTAATTGATAACTGAATGAAAGTCACTGTGTATTCATGTATTTCTACAGACTTCAGTTAATGAAATTATAAGCAACAGCTAATCTGTAATGAATTAATGACCAAGTTGTATGGAATACAAGAAGACCCCACTTGGCACAAAAGAAACAAGATCCTACACCAAGAAATGTGGTGACAAAATTAGGTCATGATGCTTATTTAGAAGGGCAGGAGGTAGCAGGCACTGAAAGAGAAATTCTGTTGGACATGTCACTGATTCTAAAACTGTTCTGATCATTATGCTTTCAATATGATTAATGGTTTTACATTCAGTCTTAGGATATTCTTGTGGATTCAAGCACATATTTTAGCCTTTTCTTTAATGAAGCCAGACAAATGGGGTTTTAGTCCAAATAGAAGTGCTAGGTGACTATTATATTTCATAATAATTTTATCTTTTTTATTTAAAAGTGAAGTAAAAGTGGAAGCCACCGCATTTGCTATTGAGTCAAGACGAAATATTTTGATAATCTTCAGATTTTGTGGAAATGTTATGCTGAATCTACTGTCTCTGTGCATCAGCTTCCCTTTAGTCTCATTTTAGAATGCCCTTCGTAAATCTCAATGCCTGAATAATCTTTGAAATTAGTAGTATGCTGTTTAGTTGGTTGCTCTGCCATTGTATTTGAGAAGAGTGTTACAATTTTTTTAAAAAGCTTCCGGAACAGTTTCTAACATTTCAGTTATTCAGACTACATGTGTCTTCAGGAATATTTAATTAATAATCTACTGTAATATCTACAAGTCACTTGGACCATGGTTTCCAGTTCACTAACTCTTTTGCAAGGTACACACAGCTGTTTCTGAAAATACTTCTATGGATTAAAAGAGAGAGTCATTTCTTACAAATCAACTTCCCCACAATCTCTAAAGTCACATTACATGTTGCTAAAATACCTTTCTAATCAAGATTATATCTTGATTAGCTCTGGCCACTAAGTCTGTTCTTTTGTGAACTAGTTAGCTTCCAGAAAAGGTACGGAAATTCCTTTGTCCTGGAAGCCTGGAGTGTGGAACTTGGAACACTTTTCTGTGACATGGGGAAGCATAGGTTCTGAAATATCTTAGGTTAGAAAGTAAATGGAGTTCAGATCTATAGTTTTTACCTGATATAAATGGGAATCATAATGCCAGTACAACTGTTTAACCAATGTGTCAATAGAAAGGTGAAATTCTCTCCAAACCAGCTTGAAATCCATAGATGAGGTATTTGATGAAGGTATCTTCCAGATGCCTCTTAAATGGTTATACTGAAGAGGAATTAGCTTTAGTTGCTGCTTCTGGCACTACATTGCAGTTCCATTCCAGTGTGCCAGATCTTTCCATGTATTTTTGTCGTGGTTTGACTATGCAGGCATTTAATTATAACAATAGATCTCAGTCTGTAAGTCAGCTGTATAAATTAAATACTCCAGAATGAACATAAAAGTATTGAAGATCCTCATTGGAGAGGGCTTGTCTTGTTTCTTTTTAGACCTGAGAGGCAGGTTGCTGTCAGCCCTTCTGTGAACCAGCTTCAGACTACATGTAGAGCTTCCAAAATTTTTGTGCAGTACACAGGTATTTAAAACATCTTGTGGCATTCACAAAAAGCATCCTAGTTATCTGAGAAGAAAATCAAAGTGCTGGCTCCATTGAATTAATTTGAGACAGAATGCTCCCTGCTAGTTTGTTCAGGTTGTTTAGATTTGTGTTGGAATGCAAGGGTATTTCATGAAGACTTTTCCCATAATTACACATTTCCCCCTTTATTATAATCACCTTCCTAGATCAGGCTCCAGCCAGTCTGCTTGGAACAATTGCACTCCCTCATAACCTGGTCAGATCTGCTCTGTTCTCTTTCAGTGTTTGCAGTGGCTCTCTTCTATCTCAATAGCTAAGCACATATTAGGCTCAAACTTACTGGTTTTTAGGCTTTGGTGAATTTTAGCTTCTTGAATGAAAAGTCTAATAGACTTCTCTGGTTTGTTTTCTTCTCCAGACTTTTGTCACGCAAGTTTTTATCAAAGGAGAAAAAAAAATATTACTAGTATCTTTTAGATGATGAAACAGGAGTAACAAAGTTTAAAATCTTTCCTTTGAACAAAAACTGATTGTGTAAAGGGAGAGACACAAAGCTAAAACTGAATACAAATACCTTTCTCTTCTGAAAATCTGCTGTTTACAAACTTAAATATTTATTTTTAAAATTGTCTTTGAAGTTTGAGGGAAGGTTGATTCTGATGGCTGTAGTAGAGCCCAGTATATCATCATCTTTTTTGAACTGAATCAAAAGTATACATAGAATAATTATGTCATATGGTTACTGTGGCACTGGGCTTGTACTCTGTAACATGAAGGTGGTGCTGCTTGTTCCCAGGAGTAAAGCAGAAAAGGCATTGAAAAACTGTGTAGATTTGGGTTGGGAATGAGAAACAGTGAAGCTGTCTATCTTACATGTGCTCTTGTAAGCTTTGAAAGTACAGCTAGAAGCCAGTAAAATAGTATCCAGGATCTCAAAATGTTCAATTATGGGGTCTGTTACCAAGGTAGAAATTTGTATCAAATGCAAAAGTTTTTTGGTTTTCTTTTTTTTACTGAAATAAGCTGTAAATAATTATGTCATGTCTTCCATACTCATTTTATTTCTGTTTAAAAATATTTGAGTTTTAAGTGCTGAAGTAGAAAATTTCTGACTCTGGAGATGGATCTTGTCTACATAAGCCATATAGATTTTATTATCTTTAAAAAATTTAGTTTTTAGAGGTGAGAAAAGAAACATTAGGCAAACAAGTATTTTTGAGTAGCAATGAATTCATTAGTGTTACATTTAAATGACATCTAGATATTAAAAGGAGCTTTTCATTAAATAACAGGAGACATAAAGCATAAATAGGGCTCTATATTTATGCTTTGAGAATTTAAATTTTGGTCATGTGGATCTGGTTTTCTTCTGACTTGAGTCTGATTCTCCTATAATTTTCTGTTATGTGCCAAGGTAGATATTTCATATTGGTATGGAAGTCTTATGTTTAAGTCTCCAAATGAAGAAAACCTTCAGAACAGTAACCTATGGGTTAAGCTTAGTTAAGCTGTGTAGGCATTTTATTTACAAATATTCAGGCCTTTGCTGTGCTTATCCCTGGAGATCTTGGGGAAGGTCTACCTAAGAAGGTTTGGGAGTGCTTATTTTGGGTAACCATGTGGAAGAGTATATGACCTTCACCTATGATGTGGAGAGTTCTGAACCATAGCAAAGCACTTTAAAAATAATTGGAATTTTGAAATATATCTGCATTGAAAAAGCCTGGTTTCCATTTCCAGGCCTTGGAGAATGTGTGTAGGGGGATACTTCCTCCCCAGCCCCCATGATCCTTCACATGCTTGAGCATAAGGTAGCCTTTGGCAAAATTAAGTTTTACAATCTAAAAATTCACTATTGCTGCAAAGCATAGAAGTGTTTCAGGGACAGAAAAATTCTTCTGGGGATAGTTGGTATGTTTTTTAATTTGATTTGCATTTTTTGTATTTCTGAATGTAACAAGTACTATTGAAGTGCTGAATATTTATAAATTTGTGTCCCACTGCTAACTGAGACCTGTAACTTTTCAGCTTTCTCTCAGATAGGGCAGGAATCAAGTCTTGCTTAATTTTAATGCAACATATTTTTCCCTTTTCAATGCCCTTTCACTTATATCTTCTGTGTTAAGCAGTCTGTTTCAATACAGGTTTAGATGGGAAAAATCAGTGTCACCTCCTCAAATGTGTTATTTCCTTGAATCAAGTTGGAAACAATTACAGTGCTGGGTTGGATGTTTACTTGTTTTGTTAATCAAAGCTTGTTATATAATAGGTGAGGGTTGGAAGTGGGGGGTAAGTGTTGCTTTTTGGGCCGGAGGGAGTTGGTTTGGGAATTTTCTAGTTTGGATTGTGTGTCTTTGAAAACCATAGCTTCTACTCAGTGAAGTTTTAATCCAGTTTTTATCTCTAGTGGTAAAAATTTTACTGGGTATGAATTTTCAGTATGAAATAATCTGAATTAATCCCTTGGGCACCAGAAATTCATTGTGATGCTGTAAAATCAGGCTTGCAGTACTCTTGTTGATGTTTTGGATGACACGGCACACAAAATAGACTGTGAAAATAGTTGGTGTTAATGTATTAGAGATTCCCCCTAAAGAGCTCTCAGACCTAGAAAAGGCAGTGGTGTGAGAAGCCTTCCTTTTTAACTGCTCTTTAAAAGAGGAAGCAAGTTTGAAATCATCCAGAGGAATAGAACAACTATTTGATGCAGCTTATAACTGCAGAATAATCCTTTTTTTCTTCCTGCAACAACTTTTCCCACAGACCTACAGCAAACAGATTCCTTTTTATGTTTTCTCCTTCCTAAGCAGTTTTATCTACATATTGTTGACCATTTAGGGAGATCCAAGTGGAGAAACAAAAAATTGCATTAATGCTAAAGGAGTTTATATGTGCAGATAGATTATTATCCTTCTAGAGGCAGAGGTAGAAGGCAGTAACAGTGGAGAGGAGATGATTACTGGTGGGTTGTAGGGGGAATAAATAATGAAGTGCAAGAGAAAAAACCTATTTGCCTATGTAATAATTAGACAGTGAAAGGAGAAGAGGAACACAAAGAATATATAAGAATAACCCGAATACATTTATATTTTTTTTCAATTTGAGGGGTTTTCTCAGTTGTTTATACTTAAACTAATTTTACGATATCCTGTGAGGAAATTTGTATTTTTTCTTTTAAAAAGCCACATATGTAACAAAAAATAAAAAACTTCTAGAAAGGCATCAATGAAATGATAGAATATTGAAATTCCTCATTCATCTCTCAGTCAGTGTAGACCTCCATCATCAAATACTAATACAGAGAGACATGTCTTGCTGGGAGCTTTATCATACTGCACTGGGAGCAGATCAATGCACTTCCCTCCATACTTGCTTGTTCACATTGGATTTTTTTTAATCAATAAGCACTCTGTGCAACGATGTTGCTTAAAATAATTTTTACCAGTAAACTAAATATGCAAATATATTTTTAAAATCAGTCTATTTAAAGGGGAAATGATAAGGCTTTCCAGTACCCGAAGGGAGCCTGCAGAAAAAGCTGGCTGGATAGGGATTATTTAACGGATTATTGACAAGACAAGGCAGAATGGCTTCAAATTTAAAGAGAGTGGATTTAGATACTATAAAAAGAAAGACACTATAAAAAATTCTTTATTGTGAGGGTGGCAAGGCACTGGAACAGGTGGCCCAGAAAAGCGGTGAATGTTCCACTCCTGGAAGTGTTCAAGGCTGTTTTGGATGGAGCTATGAGCAACCTGATGTAGTGGAAGGTGTCCCTGCCCATGTCAGGGGGGTTGGAACTGGACAGCCTTTGAGGTTTCTTTCAATGCAAACATTTTATGATTCTATGTGAAGACGGACTTTGCTTTAGAACTGAAGGAACATGTATACCTCTAATGATTTTGTAGCCAAATACTTCTGTTAATTATTCACAGTTACTGGTTTTTTTTATAGTTGAACATGAGCCACAAATGTGTTTTTGTCGAGGTGTAGGCACTAGTACACTCATAAAGATTTTAGGTTTTATTAATTTCATTTATTTTTTTAACAATTCTCTTGTATTACTTTCACTTGTCTAGTAGCCTTTCTGGGAGAAATCTGAAAATGTGCCTGAAAGCAGCATGAAGTTAGTCTAGTGCTAAAAGATGTTATCCTACTGAGATGTAGATCTCAGTGTTAGAGTAAAATTTGATATCAGCACACATAATGCTTTTTGCAGGGATGTGACCTGTTTCAGCTGCTGAACATCTACCAAGTCTGTACTGGTTGTTGCAGGTATGAGATACTTTTATGGGTATGAGATTTTTGAATAGGGAAGTTGACTCAGTAAACAAATAGTGTCTTCAACCCATACCATTTATCAGCAACTGATCGTGAATAATTTGGCCATGATGGAAATTAAGTTAAAATTACATCCTTGTAGCAGGAAGAAATTTGAAAAGAGACCTCTGTGATGTATGTTTTAGGTAGTTCACAAAGATTACCTTGTGTTCTCAAATTTGATATATTGGTCATTGATGTCTTCTGTTTTCTTTCTGAAAGGTGGTCTTGGAATGCACATTAAAGAAAGACCTTGTTTACAACAAAGTTACTCCTACTTTTTACCACTGGAAGATTGATGACAAAAAGTTTGGCCTCACATTTCAAAGTCCTGCTGATGCAAGAGCATTTGATAGAGGTATTCGGAGAGCAGTAGAGGATATTTCTCAAGGTACATATTTCAGGTGAAAGACTTGGTGGGGTGGATGAATATTGAGTGTTTACTAAAAAAGATGTCAAAGCACTTTGTGTAACATTTACATGGACAGTATTTAAGGAAGTGGATCAAACTATAGTATATTGGGATTTTAATAGATTTTGAAATAGTACTTCTGGTATTTCTGAAGTGCCATTCATTCAAGTGTCTTAAACTGTTTCACAAACACTAATAAGGTAATTTCCTAAAGCATCCCTACGTAATAAAGCATTGCCTCTTTCTTTTAGACATGAAGAAATGGAGGAAGCTGGAGTGTAATATTCTCTCACTTGGATCTTAGAAGCTTTTTGCAACTCCTGTGTTCTTGTAGGATAAGCTGGGAAGTTGAATGATTTGTGACCTATTGAGTTCTCTTTTTATCTGCACATACTTTCAGTTAATAGTCTTATTTTTTGCTAACAGCTGAATTAGTAGTAGTTCTGTGTTCAGCGTGGTTCTGAGGACAGGTTTTTTAGGAACAGAAGAAGAATTTACTCAGATAGCAATATGGCCAGCTGGTTCCAGAGCTTCACTGAATTAATGGAAACCAGTGAGCAAACTGGAGGACATCATCAAGCTTAGATTCTGAGCTGAAAATATGATAAATGTATTGCTAGTTTGAGACAGGGAGGGAAGAGAACATGTGTCTATTGAATTGAAAGAACGTCTCTTTCAGGCTTGTAAAAAGTAACTTCAGGGATTTTATATGTGTTATCCTACTAGTGAAGGGGAGGAGCATGTTTCTAAAGGGAAGTGCTTTTTGACATACTCTAATGACTGCTTTGGAATTTTGTTGGTATGATCCATATCCCTGCAAGACAAATATTTAGAGAACATAAGAGTAATTTTTTTCTCTTAGGGTCTCACACTTCTAATTTCTGCTGGTTTATAGCAAAATACAACATAGTGTGCATTCATGCCAACTAAATGTGTCTCCCTTTAATTTTCAAAATGCTACATTAAAAGGAATATACTCCTTTTCAAAGGCTTTCAACAGCTTCTGGCTGTTGATGACACTTTGAAAATGCTTTTATAAGAAAGGTGGGAACAAGAGAGAGGAGTGTGGCTGGGAATACTCATTATAGAAAATGCAGTGTAGAAATGAATGATGCTTACTAAATCAACTTGAAATGCAGTGATCTATAGGTTAAAACAAGATTATATAAATAATTATCTCTAGATATTGAGAGATGAATTGGATAACTGGAAGCAATAAGTGGTAAATACGAGGAAAATAACCTTGTCTACTATTTTTTTTTATTTGAAGGTTATCCACCCTCCCAAAATGATGTTGAAGTGGCAGAAGACTGCTTTCAAGTGAGTAAATTTTTAAATTAATTGTGCATTTTTCCTTTTACAAATGTACAGAAAAGATTTTGCTCTCATTACTGAGAATAAGCAAAATAAGAGCAATAGCAAAATTCAGTTTAATGAAATAAGTTCTAGAAGAATTGTCTAGAAGACTTATAATATTATTTGTCCTAAAACAAATAGTTATTTACTCCATAGGATAATTAAGTATCCTGAGTTTAATTTTTAAGTTCAGTATGTGTGTTCAAGTTATATATCCTCTTTGATCTTATTGAAATAAGAAATATTTTTCTGGGAAAGAGAAAATAGAGGAACAAAGTATCTTTTCACTTGTACCTCCTGTTTGTTTCCTTAGATTTCCCTTTGCAGTGATAAAACTCTTCTAACATCAAATGGTTAGAGTTGAAAAGATGCTGAGACAATGGTTGAAAGAATCCAGTCCAAACAAAGACAGAAGTGCAGACAATTTTTAAAAACACAATGAAGATAAAGTACTCACTTGTTGAGATTCAAGTTTGTATTGATCATTTTTGCACTATTCAGTTTCTGTAGGTCATAATGGCTTAAGAGATAAAAATTTATGTGCAGCCATGCTTCATAGTTACAGTGCTTTATAAGTATACCACATCATATACCGTAAGTACGGTAACACTGATGCATAGCACTGCCTGGTAATATCCAAGAACCATGTAATTAAAAAGCCAGTACAAAAAACCATTATGGATATATATATACACACACAGAGACTAAATAACTATATTGTAAGTGAATAAGTCCTACTTGTGTCTATGTATTCTTGTCATTTTTCCCTTCTTATTTATGGTTTTAGGGACAAACATGTCTTCGTTCACACGTATTCTGTTTTCAGAGTGCAGAAATTTAAATTAATATGAAGATGGTAAAGAAATAAGTTGACTTAGGGGTCTTAGTGACTATTCAGAAAACTGAGTGTTGCTAAGTGATTTCTTCTGGGAAGGAGTCTTGTCACTTATGCAATAATAAATCCTGTATCAGTGTAAATAGCTCTAGTGTAGAACCTCTAGAAAACAAAATCAAGAAAATTAGCAGCTGACTTTAAGGATGTGATAGGAGACTGAGAGTCAAGTATTTAGAAAGGATGCTGCAATGAAGTGGCAATACAGAAGCCTCCTGATATCTTTTCATTTTGTGGTAGAAGTATTACTTTGTGTAAGTGTTGGCTGTTTAACTACCTGTTGTTCTTTACTTGCAGTTCTTTACTTTAAGGCACTTGAAAGTAAAATTGCTATGAATATTAGATATTTCAGATTTTAAAAAAGAGATTATATTTTTACAGGGTGAAGGAAATATGTGCCAAACATAATGCAGTCCTTAATCAGCTCTTGAAAGACTTTCTTAAACACGCTTTGTTGCAAGGATTAATAATTGAACAGTTTCTACAGGCCTAATGAGATTAGAACAAACCAATTGTCTGATTTTGTTACCTGTTTTTTACCTTTCTATATAAGGATGCCAAAATTGAGGAAAATATCTGAGATTCATTATAGTTACAAATTTGTTATTGAGACAGTGGAGAAAAGTATATTTACGACATGTATTCTCTACATATGAATACCAATACATCACCTATTTACATATTTAAATGTAGGTTTACTTTATATTCCATTTTTTAAAATCTATATATTTTTTATATCTGTAAACCAGATTTTATATGTATAAATACTCACACACCATATATATATTAAAGGTACAAACAATCTCGTGTGGTACAAACTGCTGGCTGAACTATCTTTTACATTCTAGACAGGAAAACATACTTAATGACATCATCACAATAGACTGTTTAACTGTGGATTTGTGCTGTGGATAGATGTCCTGTTTTCTAAACACAAAAAAAGCTAGCCAATATCTCTTACCATATCTCTGCATAGCAAAGTAAAATAAGTGATACTGATACTAGCATTTATCAGAAGGAAGGAGAAAAAAAAATGCGGAAAAGACTGAATCCACCCTGGTTTAGCTATGCTTCATCTAAACTAGGTTTATGTATCAATAATGAAGCTGTAATTGCAGACTTATACACATGAGTGTAGAAAAGCTACACCATTTTAGTTACAGGCATCAGGTCTAGTCTCCAAGAATACCTTTGAAATACCAAATTGTCCACATTCTCTTTCAAATTATTAATTCCTTCCCCTTCAAGACTCTTATTCTGAGAAGTGAAACTGGATACCCCAGTTTTAACTTGATGCATAAGACCATCATTCTTTAAGGAGACTGTATTGAATATTTGAAGAGTCATGTTGACTTGTCCCCCACTTTTTGCCACTTCTAAGTTTAAAAGGTTTAATGATTTTTTCTTTACCTGTTTATTTTATAAGCTATTTTCCAAAGTCTCCATTTGTATTTTTGAGTATATTTTGGAGTACATCTATGCAAGGACATTTTGGAGTGTGGATAGAATATTAAAGAGTAGTTTTTCCTATACTGTTCTAGTCATCTTAAACAGCAGGAATCCTATATTTAGTGTACATTTGAATTATAAATATAGTATTTGGTTTGTACATAAATTTCATTCATAGTGACTTGTTTTTGTTGTTTCATTTTTTAAATGAAGATGACTAGATAATGAAGACAGCTAAATGTGTTTCTTAATTATTTTACTGGCTGGTTGTATTTGGTGCTACAGAGAGCAAAAAAAATGATGTAAAGAAGATAAAAAATTATCATCTCAGTGTGAAATCTCAGTGCTTCATTGTAATAAGTATTATCACATTTTATAGATGTAGTTAGCAGAAATAGTGATTGTCCAAAAGTTGTATGTGCATATCTTAAGTGTAAATCCAAAAACTTAACTCTTGTCTTGTGCCTTCTGGGCTAGCAATTCGCTTGCTATGTTAGACCTTGGTTCACTAAATTTTTGATTTTTTTACATTTTGTAAATAAAATCTCCCAGAGAAAGCATTCTTTTTGCTGAAGATCAAATTTATCATTTTAAGAAGACATAGCTTCCTTGTAGTTTCTTTAGCCTCTCTTTTAATGTTTTTTACAAATAATATTAAAATCCTAGTATTAAAAGAATATGGTCACTTAAGGGTTTTCATGGTTGCTTAAATTATTACAATTATTTTTAGTTGTTTAATTAACTTACTAGATGCAAATTGTTCATATCATCAAATAAGCCCTAGCCTTACCAGATTAATTTCAAACAGAAATCTGACTTCCTATAATGTTGGTAAATGTACCCTGGAAAAATATATGTAGTTACATGGAAATATACATTGGGAATTTGTTCTGTTAGGAAGTAGAGATGGTTTTGGTATAAAACCTTGCATTTTGAATGTAGGAGCAGCTTGTGTAAGTCACTTTGCTGGTTTGTTAAAATATTGGCTCCAGTTATTTTCCTCTACCAAATATAAACTTATTGCTCTAAAACTTACCTAGCTTAACTGAAAAAAAATCCAATTTTTTCCCCCCAAGAAGTAAATCTAAATGAAATCTAGAGCTCATACATTTAAAATTATTTTTATGGGGGTTTTGGATCCTGTAATCTGTAAGTCTTACTTTTGTGAACTGAAAAATAGAGTAGTTGAACTTTAATTTTTTCAGGTTTTGTTGATTCAGCCATATTGGTGTTATTTATAGGCTACCAACACATTTTAACTGTTTGAAGTAATAAGAATTGGATCACTTATGCTTTTGAGTTTCTTACTACTGGCAGAAGAAAACTGTAGACTGATAAATTGTAAGCAGAAAATAAAAAGTTTGGCTTGTTCTTTCAGAAGTACGTACACTGGACTTTTTGTTAATAGTAAGGGGGAAAGGCCTGAAACTCACATGCATCTTAAGTGGTTTTGGTGCAGGCAGGGAAGACAGTAATTGTTCATGCACTGCTATGTAAATACACTGTTTTGTGACTCTTCATAAGGGCCTTCAATGACCACTCAATTTATTTTTTCTATAACAAAATGTTTGCAGAAATTTTATTTTGCAAAAATACCATTATGACTTTTAAGGAAATGTGAAATAATTTACCCTTGACACACTGTATTGTTTTATGGATAAGACAATACTACATGGTAAAACACTAAAGATTAGAAACACAGTGCAGTTAATAAATTGCTTAGGTCTAGTTCTTAGAACTAAAAGTAATACTAATTCATATTACCAATTTCAAATCTGTTTATATATTGTGCTAAAACCGTTTTGGTTTATTAAGCTTTTTTGTTGGAGTTGTATATAAAAAACAGGAGGAATTTTTTTTCCCCTCACCAGTATTCCTAGCAGCCTCTTAATATGTAGTGTTCTCTATATATTCAGGTGGAAAAGCCTTTGAAGAAAGAGACATGCCAAGTGTCTTTTTTTTTAGTTTAAACTGTATAAAATATTCAGAGTAATCTAGGTAATATTTCAGCTTATGTCAGAAACACACACCTGAAAATAATAGAGTTTCTTTGCCAAATATATTGCACCATCAGTCTCAGAAATAGCCAAAGCAGAAGGAAGTCATTCAGATGTTTTTGAAACCTGTATAATTTATTCAGAATTGAAAAATTAAGGAAAAAGTATTGAAACGTTTTTTGTGTTGTTAGCATCAAACAGCAGATTTTCGGGCCTCATGGGAAGTAAATGCAAGAACTGGGATGCAGCGGAAATGTGGTCTCTCATCCATCCTTGTGTGTAATCATTAAACTTACTTAGAGGAGAACATTTTTAACAATGTTTGCAGAACAATGTTGAATTCTCTCCCAGACTTAACTCTGGCAAACTGGGAGAAGTAAGGAGAGAAAATTTGAAGAACAAGAGAAGCTCAGTCTGGTTTTCATTTTCTCTACAGCTGTCATCTGGCTTTGAATTCTGCTGGAGAGCTACAGCTGGAGTCATTTTATTGCTTTACCCAGCATCCTTTTGCTTGTGCGCACAGAAATGTTTTAGTAGTCTTGGAAAAAAATTCAGAGTATCTCTTAGCAACCATAGGACAGTAATTATTATACCAGCAGCTGGGAGCAAACCAGATTTCCGTTGTGCATTAAAAACTGGCGTAGGTTACTTTACAGATGATACTGAATAACCTATGCCAGTACTGTACTTTGCAGGCTGTGGTTAAAGTATATTGAATGTGGGCGGTTTAATTGCTTTGGACAGTAGAAAAGGAGAATGTGTGCATCTGTGTTAGTGTGTGATACTCTATATTTGTTGTGTATATGTTCTTGTGGAAAACTTTATATGTTTACTTCTTACTTAAATGCATTTTCAACACAATACCGTTTTTGTTTCTAGGGCTTTCTACTTCAGATTGTCAGTGTTTCCATTATAAACGTGGGTTTTCAGATGTTTATGACATTGTAATAAAACATCACATTGGAGCAGGAAGTTGTCCAAGGAAAAGGTTTTTGATGCTAATAAGCGTGGTTTGACTGTATCAAAACTGCAGTTTAATTAAAAGCAGAGAGTTCGGCGTGTTCATCTGGCTTTTCTGTAATTCAGCATAGTGAATATTTATTGGCTAAAGGACTGACATGATTGCTTTTCATTTTAATACCAGAAGTTAGTCTGTGTTCACTTACCTGTAGGGTATAGGATGGTAAGCTGAGCATTGTGCTTTCAGAAATGCTGTCTGGCGAGTTCTTGCCTTACAAAAGGTCACATGCTTTTCTCTGTCTGCTACCACCCTGAAATTTGTCCTTGAAGTCAATTTGTTTGAATTGTGGTATCTGTGTTGGAATTTTCTAAAAGCATTCTTTGATAATTGCTGTGTATAGGGCATGAAGGTTTGCTTTAAGATTAAGGTTTGGGTTTCGTGCATCATCTGGCACTGCTAGTTAGCACAGTAAGAGGTGATCTGTGCCTTTGTCCTTCATTAGATGGAGCCCTCCTTGACTGCCAAGGGGAGTACTTGTGTCTGCCTGTGTGAGCATGTGCATGTGTCTTTTTTACTTTAAAGTTACATAGTTTATTTTTAAAGAAGAAAGGTGTGAATCACCTGCAGGGACAGGAAATAATGCAGGCTACTGCAAATCTAACCCAGGGATAAAAACAGGCTTGTGGGAAGTATATGTTTTTTCCCCGGGAAGGAAGGAGTAGACGTTTTTGCAGCTTGCTCCCTTCTTCCTAGACCACTCAAATTTATAATAGCCAGGGGAAGGGGAAAGGGGATGCTTATCACTGTGGTTTCTGTAAAATGGCTTCTGGCTCTTAGCTTAAACATTTGTGGTAATTTTAAACGTTGCTCAGACCAAAAATGGATGTAGGCATTTCTTTCTCATTTTGAATGCAGTTCTTCTGTAGTTTGAGCCACTGTTTTGGAAGCCTTTTATGTCATTGGGCAATGTATCTGCCAGGAGTATCTTCTGCTATGAAGATGTTTGCTATTGCACTAATATTTGATGCTTTTTACTCTTAAAATAAGTATACATATTTGAAGTCTAATTGTTTTTAGTCATTCCAATACATCTTTTATACTCATTTCCCATAAATGTTTGACCATAAAATGTAATTTTGACGATAACAGGGTCAGTTACTTTGTGGTGGTGTCATGCTCAAGGATCTGCCAGTAGTACTTCTTTTTGGTGTTTTGCCTGTCTTCAAAATTTTTCAGGGGAACTTTACCCTGATTGAGTGAGCTTTTGTCTTTCTTGGGGTGTATGCTCTGTACTATTAGTTACACTGATCATTAATTAATTACTAAATTTAATGTTTTCCCACATAGTGCTTCTGAAACAAGATATATATAAATTTAGTGACATCATTATTTTCTTTCTCCTACAAAATCAGCTGCAGACCAGCTACTTCAAACTATCTACATGTCTTAGAACTTGATATGTTAGGTTTTTATGTTGTGAGGTACTAATGTAATCCTAGAATAAGTTCCTTAAGTACTTTGATAAGTGAAAACTAATGATTCTAATGAGTCAATACTTAACCTGCCAAAACTTTAGGTTTGCTTCTGCTGCTGTATTTTTCTGTACTATTCTTATTCTTTTCCTCTAAACATTTTCTTGATACATACAAATCCTTGTAATAAAGCTGAAACATTCTCATTGCTGGAAGCTGGATGATGCCAGAATTTTCTCAGTGCTATCCATGATGACAGCCAGTTAACTTTACAGCATCCCTCAATGCAAACAAAACATACAGTACATTTTTGGCAGCTCAATGGAATTTGTATCAAAATGCTGTGCTGTATCCTAAGTATGTCCCAGTTAGTCAAGCTTAAAAAATGAGAACTGTTCATGTTTTCAATTCATTTCAGAAACTGGATCATCTTACAAGCCAGTATTCCACCCAAACATACTTCCTTCTTCTGAACAGCACAGGTCTTGCAGCTATCTCATCATGTATTGCTTCATAGTCTCACTTTTTGTATCAAATTGCCTGATACAGCTCTAATTGCAAAATGACAGCCATTCATGTTTAATGCACACTTGCTGCAATTGGATATTTTAATTGGGCCAGTATGGGCTATTTTTTTTTCTTCCAGCTGATTTTGCTTTTAATTTATTAAAAGATCTGACTAGAATTTGCCTTATTAAATAGTCTCAGATTTTTTTTTCTCCAATTGTGTTTTTTTTCCTCCAGTTGTAAATATTGGCAGCCTCATGGGTAGTTAGAGGAAACATCATCTCAGAGACAGGTTAATCTCTATTTCCTTAAAGTATGACTTTGCAACTGTATTGCAAAGGCATGTATCTCGAGTGCCCAAGTTGTTTACTGTCTGCAGAGAAATTTTGAATTTACAAAGGCTGACTCAAAATAAAGAAAATACTTGGCTATTTCTAAATGCTTTAAAAATGTGCTTTTAAGAACACTGGTGTTTATGGATACCTCTAATACATTATGTGGAATATTACACATTTATGTATGAACTTGTTGGGTTTAGTGTTGTTTTTACATAAATGCAAAAATCATTTCAAGGAAGTTCTTATGTGTTCTAGACTGCGCAAGAAAATACATCAGGTTCACTAATGAAAGATCACCTTTTTCAACATGAAACTGTAGTAACCAGTGAAACTTACAACAGTGCAAATTTAAGGCCTTCAACATTTGAGGATTTCAACACCAGGCGAGCCTGTTTTCCTAGCCAATCTAACCAGGTAAGAATACCAATAAAAGAAGTAGTCTTTCCTTTGCTTGCTGTGTTGATGGCACAGTATGAAGTTTCTGACAAGAAATCACTGCACTCCAAATCCATGTACTTTCAACTTCTTGAAATGTTCAATATTAAACTTTGCAGCTGAAATATTATACCATTATTAGGGTAGAGATAAAGCTTTGTGAAGATATTTACCTATCATTGTAATGCACCAGACTACGTGATTAAGTGTTTAATTTCTTTCAAGTCTGTTTTTGTATTGCAGATTTCAGCATCTGCAGCCTTAAAAAGTTGTTTAATTTTTTTTCAGAAAATGTTAATTGGACATTTAGCTCAATCTTAGTTACATGTATATTAATACTGTTTTGCTTAGAAATATTGAAAAGTATTCAGCCTTTGGTACAGCAATATAGCACTATACATTTTTCTTCTTTTCTAAAGGTAAAAGAACTGACAATTTTTGTAGACTATAGAAGTAGTCTGAGTAAGATGGACTACAATTAATTTGATGGTCTTATGTCTAGACTCAAAGACATGGGAAGCTTTTAGAATGTACTGAATAACAGATGTCAAAGCAAAATGCAAGTTCAAGTAGTTCTGAAGACTTACCAAATAATTGTGTTGCTTGTAACAAAGCTTTTTAGTACCTTCAGTTATTTTTCAAGAGAAAAATAGAGTTGTACTTAAGTCTTATATCAGCTACACTTAATCTGCTTTATTGGGCAAAAGAAGTAAGCATTGTTGTCTGGAGAACTAAGAAGCTTGAAATTATTAATTCTTTATCTTTATTCATTGATCTACTCCAATTATCTCTTCGTATAAGTCACCTCATATTTTTGTTTCTGTTAAGGTACATATTTACCTTTTGTTTCTGTTGAGGTACATATTTTTCCCTCTTCCCATTTACTTGCAAAGACAATGGTAAATATTTTTTAGAATAGAAGGATTGGTGATTAGGTTATTGCAGCTAAAATTTAATGGCTGCAGTAACCAGTGATGTATGTCATGTTAGTCTTCCTCGCATTGTAAAGAAAAGTGCAGTAGCTTGAAATTTCTGTATGTTTTAAAAGCATGTATAAAATCAACTACCACAGAAGTGATAACTTAGGCTATGTTAAACTGATTAGTCTGTGTCTGTCTGATAGAAATTAAATAGAAATTTCTTTCAAATGACAATGTTAGAATTCAGTTCTTGAAAAGTTATAGGGGATTCCATAAAAATTTAAATAGATATTCTTTAAAATATTCTTCTCCTACTGTAGCACCACTTGCAAGCAACAGACACTCTGCTTTTTGCATGGTCTTGTAGCACACACATTTACAACACAGGCAAGTCACCAAAACTTCACATTCTATATGTGCACACGCTGCACTGGTTCTGCTAAACTCCATGCATGTGACCAGGTGGCACTGCAGATCTTGAGCTAATTACTGTGTTTATTTCAATTTTGTGTAAATAAGTTTGAACACTCTTACTTAAGAATGTGCTCATAAGTTGAATAGTTCAAGAAGTACATGCTCCAACTAAAGAAATAATTAATGACAATTCAGATTTTTACCTGTCATATTTTGACTGTTAGTAAAAAATACTCAATTCCTTCAGCTTTCCAGCTTCTGATACGTGGATGTGTGTTAAACTTTGCAATGATGTAGCCAGCTGCTGGTGTCTTCATACTGAGAAGTTGCAAGATGAGCAAAATCAGGTGTAATTCTTTGAGGAGAAACAGCAAGGGCTACAGTACCAGAATGACTGTGCTTTGTTTAAAGGGGCACCCTTTAACCTTAAGTAAGGTGCAATACTTGTGGGTTCAGTTGCATAAACAAAAGTTTTCTGCTTAATTTCTGGTTGACTAATCATGTCAGAATCAGATTCTCTTGGAATTTGTTTGCTGTAATATTCTTCCTCCTTTCCTGCTTCAGCTTCACATAGATGACATTTGTACTGAGTTTTAGTTTTGACTATTTAGAGGACGAAGTACATTATTCTCATTTGTACCTATGTGAATTTGGATTGAGAACTGTTCAAAAGTTTTCATGTACTTCATGCATTCACATAGGTCCCATTTAATACCCAATGAATAAGCTCTTTCCAGCCTTTCTTCAGTTTGCTTATTTTTCAGCATGTTCTGCTCAAAAAATATTTCTTAATATCAGTGCCTTAAAGAGTGTAGTGGTGCCTTATTTGTAACATGCCAGTTAAGTATTTTCAGGTGTTGGACTCAAGGCTTGAAAAAAATGAGTTCTACGTATGTGGTGTGTTCTGCTCAAACAAATAAAAAGCCTTCAGAGGCTAAGGAGAGAGATCACATTCTACTGTTGTTAGTATTTGTAGTGATCCTTAATGGCTGTTAGCTGTCTGGGCAATGGGAAGTTGAGGGTGAATTTTTGTATGGAGGTTTTAGGGTTTTTTTCTTTTAAACAATGCGTTTTATTTACTGTCTTAAGTGCATGCATAATAGTCTATGTGGACAGCAGGGTAAGGATCCTTTATGCCTGTAACATATGGAATTCTAATAACTTTTGTGGCTTTTTTTTCTTAAATAAATTTATTCTGTAAAATGTTCAAATAAGCTCATTATCCATAGTTAGTTATTTTTGCTAAACAATGGATTCTTCCTCTTGTTTGAAAACTGAATAGGGCTGAGAAGTAGTCTGCTTTTATAAGCAAAGGGGAAGCCTAACTGCTTGTATAGGAGCCTGGGGAAGTATGGAAGTGAAGCAATGCTAGCTGAATTGGGTATAACCTTTCTTCTCCCTGTATCCTTGAAACCTTGTGGAAGTTCAACTATGTGGCTTAGAGCCAAGGAAAAAAATTGCTCTTGTTAGCATACTCCAGTTGAAAGTCCCAGGGCAAAGCATCTCTAATTACAGTTCTGTACTCATCACACGAGGATTGTTGAGCAGGGAAGTGATGGTTAGAGCAGGCTACAGATATTCTTACATAATCAGAAGATAGCATATTTTAAGAAGCTCTTCCTTCCTCTTTTACAGCTGCCTTCCCTTTTCCCTTCTCTGTCTCCTGCCCCAAAATCAGGACATGCAGACTTCAGCACAGTAGGAGTACAGATGCATGCAAAGTGACATAGAAGTGTTTTAACCTAAAACAACATCTTCAGTAGTTTCACACACTGCAACAGATCAGGAACATGCAGTTTAACTGTTGTACTTGACTGTGGAATGGTGACACATTCATTCTCATTAATTTGAGTACTAATACGATAAACCTGCTCAAAGCAACAATACTGATACCAAAGATCATTCCCAAGTAATTCATGATTCTAGAAGAATTTGTAATACTAGTAGGTTAGAGAGGGGAGGGGTATTTTGTCTTTTCTGAGAAATGGTTTACAGGCTGTGCACTAGACAGAAAAAAAAGGCAGAATTTGACTTGAAGCCCACTCATAATCTGGCTCTGATTATAACAGCCCTACAGTGTAGGAAACTAATTGTCTGCCTGTAAGGTAGAAATACTGGGGCATACTGAGACCCCTGTTCTTTTACTGCACTGCCTGCTATTTTCAGGAGCTACTTTTATACACATGTGCTAAATTTTTACCCTGTCATTATTTGCACCTTTTCTTGAAAGTCACTTCAATGACTATCTAATGTGATAACAGTAACATTTAGTGGTAATTCACTGTCTTACACGTAGATTTCTAAGGCCTGCAGTATTTCAGTTTGGATGATTCTCTGAATTTTGTCATCTTTGTCATCTTTTTAATGTCCCCACGCCCTTTCACTGTAAGGCAGAACTCTCACCTTATTTCTCTGGTGGTTTTGTATGTGTTCAGCACATTCCTTACTACTTGCCTTTTGAAGTAAAAGGTCTTAAATTATGGTCAGTTCATTACAAACTGAAAATTTAAGAAGTACTTGGATCTTTGCCTGCCTGTGTACTGAGCTAATCAATGTTAGTACTGTATATTATCTAAGGAGAGACACATTCAGAAGAGGCTGTTATTGATTGATTGTCATAGTGAATGTTGTTCTTCATACTGCAAAATCCTCATCTAGAACACAGCCTTGATAATTAGTTACCAGTATTCAGTACTGTTGTTATGAATTGGAGAGTGTTTGAAAAGTTACAGCAAGAATTAAGGACAGCTTCTCCTGGATAACACAATAGTGAATGTAGCAGAGAGTTAGTCCTAAAGCAGCAGATCATCACATGAAATCAGCACATAAGGCATAATTAGTTTGTGGAATTAGCCCCCACTTTAAGATATTAACACACTAATTTTGAGCATAATTCACAGAGCAGCATCAAGTTTTATGTGGATATCAAAATACTCAAAGCTCTTCTGAGACATGAAAAAGTCAGGAAAGAATACTGAAGCTCATAGACCTAATGCCCTGCAGAAGACTCATTATTGTGGGGATGTTTGTAAATTTTAGTAGTGAGAAAACAACCTGAATTTTTTTATCCTCAGTCAGCAAAAGAAAAAAGGCTTGGTTTTTTAGTTTTCTAATCTAAAATTTACATTGTAGGTGGACACAAATTTGGGACTTCACCATAGTAAATTTCTCTTACTTTGCCTCTACTTTTCAGGTCCCACTGAAGTCAATCAGACATGTTAGTTTTCAGGACGAAGATGAAATTGTCAGAATAAACCCTCGTGACATTTTGATACGTCGTTATGCGGACTACAGGCATCCTGACATGTGGAAGAATGACCTGGAGAGGGATGATGCAGACTCAAATATACCATTTTCTAAATCAGACAGTAAAAAATCTGACTATTTATACCCATGTGGAGATGGAACTAAGTTGAATTCCTTAAAAGACTCAAAGAGTTCTGTGGTATTTAAAACTCAGCCTTCCTCATCAAAATTTAAAAACTCAAAAAGAAGAAAAGAGGATGGTGAGCGTTCCCGCTGTATATACTGCCAGGAAAGGTTTAATCATGAAGATAATGGCAGAGGAAAATGTCAAGATGCGCCAGATCCTATTAAAAGATGTATCTACCAAGTTAGTTGCATGCTTTGCGCAGAGAGCATGCTGTATCACTGCATGTCAGACTCTGAAGGAGATTTCTCTGATCCTTGCTCGTGTGACACTAGTGATGACAAGTTCTGCTTACGCTGGTTAGCACTGGTGGCACTCTCGTTCATTGCTCCATGTATGTGCTGCTACCTCCCCTTGAGAGCATGCCATCACTGTGGTGAGGTGTGTGGGTGCTGTGGAGGAAAGCATAAAGCTGCAGGATGAATCAGTCTTGTGCCAAACAGAGCTGAAAAATCTTTGTTTCCAGGAAGCATCTAACTTGGATTTGTGGAAGCTTTTTGGCAAGCTGAAGGGAATCTTCTTTCACGTAAGAGATGCTTGATGTGGAGGAAGCAACAAGACTTGTCAGACCTTGGCATTTTACAAGTGCTAGCCACGCCTAACTATTTCCTTTGAGTGCGTGGCATTTGTTGCAAGTTGTGAAGGAGATTTTGCGAAGGAAAGCCTGTTCTTATTATTGGCTATAAAATGAGTATATAAACTATGATTATACTAAAAGGGATTAACTTTTGCCACTTTGTACATTCATGGTTTAGGTGAGGGGGCTCTTTTAAAAGGATTAAAACTTATCTGAGGGGAAATTTTAACTAAAAGTGCACTAGTGACAGTTGATTTAAGATTAAGAAAAGTTAATACTCAGCAAATGAGAATTGAAACTGATTTTAAGTGCAACTAAATCACTTATTAATAGTTTTTTGGAAGCAACTTTATGTATAAATAACAAATGTTTATATTTAACTAAATGTGTAAGGTACGAATTATTACTTGTTAAACTTTCCTTCCCTCCAATATAGTAGGTATGGACCATATCTACTGTCACATTCCATGGTAGTATTTTAAATAGTTAATTTAGTTGCATTTTTATTCCAGATGGACAAATTGATATTTTCAGTCCTGGTTCCCTTCAGCTACAGTTTGTGTTGAGTTGTATCCATGCATTCTGATAATCTAAAAACCTTTAAAATATTAATTATTCTAGTCTTGAGTGACCAATATTTTTTTCGTTAAGCACAGATGTAATTGTCTAAAATGTTCTTGTTAGAACATAACATTTATTTTTATATATAAATTACTTTGATTTCAACATAATAGCAAAAAGGATGTTGTTTCTGTTGTTCAACCAGCAAGTTGTTTTCTTTTGGGGTGTCCTCCAAAAATACTTTCTTGCATATTCAAATGTTCATTAAGCAAAAGGTACATTAAGGCAGTTGTAACAAATTGTCACCAGTGTTCTTGTTTATCCTTCTGTTAAACTAGGATCCTGTTCAGCTGTTTATCAAGTACTATGATTAAAACAAAAGATTAATAACAAAAGTGAAATTGTTTTCATTATTTTGAGCCACAAGTTTTTCTAATTTGAATGGGCAAGGACAAAAGTACTGTGTGTTTTGTTCAGAAAGAACAACAAAAGACTTAGCTTGAGAAATAAATTACAGCCCAGGCAAAACTGAGTGAACTTCTTAATTGGGGAAATTTGAAGGCAGGGCTGGGGAGGGAGGCTGGAGAGTGTGCGTGTATGTATGTGCATGAGTGCTGGTATATTGTGTATGATATTTCTTATGGTTTTGTACTTAGCAAGTCTAGCTTTCAGGTAAGAATTAATCAATTAACCCACAGAGAATTTTTAAAAGCATTACTTGTTGTGCTGTGTTATGAAATAAGAATAATTTACTTCTTATTAAAAACATGTGAAACACTAAAAAACAGTCACAATCCATTAACAAAGGTGCCTGTTTGACAGCTTGGCTGGAGTGGGACAGATTGGCTTTAGTATACCCTTGTTCTTAAACACAGAACCAAATAATTTTATTTTTAAAATGCATTATTTTTCTCACTTACATGTATTTCTTCAGTATATTTTTGCGTAATTTTTTTCTGCTTGTATCTGGCCCCTTAATTTTCTTTTGTAGCCCAGAAGTAAAATAAGCAGATGTATATAACTATCTGTAAAATACTTTTTAAATTATATTTATATTACAGCTTGACTTGACCACCTTGTGTACATAGATCATCTCAAAGTATTATTTCACATTGAAAAAGACAGCAAATATCTTGATAACTATAGAAGTTATGGAAGAGCTTCTAGTTTTGTATTAAGAGTTGATTGGATGGCTGAAGTCCAAGAATATGACACGGTAGCAGCAGTCTTGGGTTTTTACTGTTTATGTATTTGAAAGCTGCTACTCTGGTTGGTTTTCATGCTTCACACATTTTCAGCTAAACTTGGTTGCCTAGAATAGACTGTTAACTTTAAAAACAACTTTCATTAAAAAAATGTTGATGTTTTTCTAGTGAATGAGAGGAAATTACTGTATGTACATGCTAGGTTCCTAATTCAAGGTGGAGAGGTATGAACAACCGAAGAAAAGAACTTGCTGGCTGTATAAGAAAATGCTATATAATCGTACTGTAAATATACTCCAGAAAGAAATTAGTTTTAGCAATTTCCTCTGAGCACTATACAGCATAGTGAAACTCCTGGTCCTGTACTGTATTTTATATGACACATATACTTTAATATTTTTATTAAATGTGTGCATTAATATTTTCACCTTGCATTTAACCACTTTGCTGCTAAAATGTTTTCACCTTTTGCTTTTCTCTTTGAAGACTTCTGTCATCTAATACTGGTTACTGAATGGGCCCATGCTCACTTGTTCCTGTTGTGCAGCAGTGTCAGCCAGCTTGCCTGGTTGGAGAGACCAAACACATGCAAAGATGCGAGGTTGCAGAAGGATTGGTTTTAGTAGCATGCACATGTACTTTTTCTCTGGTGCTAGGGATCTTACCCACTGTTACATTTAGGACATGAGCAGTGGAAGGTAGATATACAGCAAACCCATTCCAGAACAGCTTGTTGCATCCGTACATCTGGTTTTGGCAGCACGAAACATTCATCTATCTCTTGTGAAATATTTTCTTGAGCATTTGGAAATAGAGAAGTTTCTTCCTCAATCCGTAATCTTTGCCCTTAACATCCGAGCTGTAGTTTGCCAGGCGTGTAGTAGCAGAGCTTTGTGTTGCTTGGAGGGGACCCGAGCCTTTGGAAGCCGTCACTGAATATTAAGTCCCTCGCTCGCTGAAGCCTCGGTTACCGTGAAAATTGTTTCCCCTGAAAGGGGGAAGTTAAGGGAGCGCGGCGCTCGGGCACCATCTGCTGGGGAAAGCTCGGCGGCCTTCAGGCACAGCCCTCGATGACATCGCAGTTAACTAACGGGGCTGGCCGTGCACGGCTTAAGGTACGCCATTAGGTTATGCTTTAGCCATGAATTTACAGAATACTCATTTGCAATCTGATGGGATGCTTTAGCTCACCATGCCTCTTAAGTTTCGTTATTAATACTGAAGTAAAATCCTTTAAACCATATATTTTGTTAGGTTTAAAATTGTTATGATGGCCTGTTACAAGAGCATAAAAACCAGGAATGAAATGAAAATTGTTTTGTGTCACTGGGCTTCGAAGAAAGGGGTTTTATTATTATGATTATTTTATTTATTTCCCCTCTTGAAGTTCTTCCCACAGCAAGGTGATGGAGTTTTGATGCTCATGCAGATGGAATTTGGCCTTTTGTGATACAAATCAAGTTGTGAGGATGCACAGGTGGGTGTGTGCTCTCACAAATGAATTTCAGTAGCTGTGAAAGATACACCTACAGCTGTGTGCATGTTTAAAGCAATATCTAATGATAATATACAATTATTATGGTAACTGTTTAGTAAACAGCATGACATCATAAAACTCTTCAAGAGCTTATAGAAGAGATGTCTCAAACAGTCTTAACCAATGCAGTTTCCCCTAGAGAAGCAAATGTGTTTTGAAGAATGCCTTAATTGTGCATGCTGGAATATAACATTCCCATTTTGGATGAGTTCTCAGAATGATATGTTTGTGTGTACCTGGAGGATAATGTTGAACACTTCTGTAAATAATGCCCAGGTTTAAATTAGACTTTAAATCTTTTCCAGGCTTATGGCACAATGTGCAGCCAGTACAGCTATACATTCATATTAGTAAAATGAAGATCAGGATCACTGGCTGGCAAAAAAAATCCAAGAACTTTAAAAAGATGCCTTATGGTACTATTAGTCCAGCAGCTGGGTGGATAAAACTTGTTTACTTCGGTGCATTTACAAATATAAAGGGTTGAGGGGGATGTTAGATTTTCATTTTGATTTTTTTTCCTCTGAAAGTTTCTCTTAATTGCAAAAGTTCGTTAAAGAAATCAAAGCATTTGGTGAAAAAGCAGCTGTCATGTGTAAAGCTGTGGTATAAGCTGTACATGGTTTTCCTTCTTTTGCTTGGTGCCATTTGCTTTTCACCCTAATGACCTCAAAGTGCCTCATGTGTATATTGTTTCCATTAAACCTCAAATGCTATTTGTGTCTACTAAATGATGTATAATTTAATTAACTCATCCCATAGGTGTTGCGTAAAGAATATGAATATAGCTTGTTACTTTGAGTATATAATGTAAATATGTCTTTAAGTTTGTAACTGGTTTGTTACATCATATCCTTCTAAGCTGATGAAGTAGATAACACCATAAAAACTGTTTCAATGTTTTTCCTGTAATTACCTGATTAAAACTATCTCGAAATGAAAAAAATATGTTTTTCTATTCTGTGTTGGAATTGCTCAGAACAGTGCACATGAAATGAAATGTTGCAGCTCAAGAACAGAATAAAAAGAAGTAAATACAAGTATTACCTTCAAATTCCAGCATCTTTCATTGTAGGAACCATTTTTAAGAGTTGCTGTAATGTTTTAAAGAAAAACAGCCTTATACCAGTTTGCTTTGTATGTACAGCACTACTTGTCATTGACATCATGCTGAGGAGGTCAAGATTCCTTTACATAAAACATATATATCTGAATTCCCACTAGACCCCACCACAAAAATGCCTATCTCTGAATATAATTCTGAGCTTTGTAAGTTACAGAATAAGAAATACATCAGAAAAGGAAGGAAAACTAATCAGTCCATGACGAAAAATGAACAAGTAGAAATCTGTGAGACCATAATTTGAAAGTTCAATAGTCAGGGTTTAGGCTAGGTTATTTTAAATTGAATTGTATTTGCCTCTAGGTTTTACAAATGCTTTCTTATTGGTTGCAGTCAATAAAACAATTCTCCCTGTTCATTTGATCAGTTGCTAACTTGAAGAATTTTCATTGCCAGGTGTAACTTTTACATGGACTATTAAGTGTAGATACTTGAGCTTTTAATTGATGATGTGAAAATGCACTTCTACCAGAGGAATGAAACAGACAAATGAAATGAATGACAAATACGGTGAAGAGCTACTAGAGAAAACTATAGAACTATGTGAAAAACAAGTATGAGAAAGCAGTTTAGCATTAAGTATAGTTTCATATGATTTGGAAACCTAATGTTACATGTCAGACAAATCTACCTTAATGTAACGATTAATGCACATTCTTCTGGCTTTGAACAAGAAAAAAAAGGATAGGTAAGGAATCCTTGTTCTTTCTTGTTGATTTCTTTTTCTTGTTCTTTTTTCTCTTTTTTTTGTCTTCTTGGTTGGGTGGGGTTTTTTTTTATTTGGGGGGTTTGTGGTGGTGATGGATTTTGTGGGGTTTTTTTGTTTCATATTCTTTTTGTTTTCTTGTTCTTTTCTTCTTTACAGCTGAGTCAAACTTAATTGCTGGAGTTCACAGAGCTAGTGGCCAGTTTCTAAAGACAATTCACAAAAATATCCAAGTCATTTACCAATTAATATTCAGCCTTTTGTATCACTGTTTCCTTAACCTTTTGAATTATTGTCGTGGATCACTATAGGATCCTGTGCCAGAACAGAAAGACTTCAGTCTGGAGGATTGTGTCATCACTTCCATAATTTGAGAACACAGGTGTAATTTAACAGTTTGAAAACAGACATAACAAGTAAATGAATGACAATAAAAAATAATCCACATTTTCTACCTTTAATTTGAGATTGGACAGTACGATTACACACACAATGGGATCTGACTTAATTGTGCTTTGAGTAATGTGTACTGTGAATCACTAACAATACTTGGTTTTACCTAGAAGGAAAAGAAAAAAAAAGATAAGTCAGTTCTTCAAGAAACTTGTATCTCTAGGTATCCATGCCCTGACTTGAGGGGTTTTGGAATATTTGAGAATATAATGTCTTTGACAGAATAAGCTTCTCAGATTAATTGCGATTTCAGCTAAGTGGTGGTTTGGCAGACTCCAAGCACATCTCAGTACCCACCAAATTAAATACAATGTTTTTAGCAGTATGCAATTATCTATGTCAGTTCGAGGTAATGCACAGGAACAATTATTTCATGTTAGGCATTTGCTGCTTTTTTATTTTTTAAACCACCAACAAAAACCTCTTCTTCATTCTGATTTTGAGTAATATGAATCAGGGTAAGTAAGCTGACCAAATAATAACTGTTTGAAAGAGGAGACACCC